CCAATAAATTGGGAATTCCAACAAAAGCCCAGCAAGGGCTAGGAAATGGGGAGAGTTCACCAGAGTTTACGACACCAGCAGGCTCATCCATGCTGCTTACTGAGAACAAAGGCAGAGCAAGACATAGGCCTGCATCTCAAGTCAGTGTCATCCAGAACATTTGGAGACTTTTATTTCCACAATATAAAAGCCAATTTCCTCTCTAAAAAGATACTATATGACAATCAGCCAAAGATCTGGGGGGAAAAAAAAGAAAAGAAAAAAACTGATATTCAGAAACGATTTCACGTGTTCAGAGCCAGAGAGGTGAATTTCTTTAATTCACTGCACACTGAAAACTGATAAAGATTTCAAATGAAGGAAAGAAAGAAATGGGTGCAAATATAACAGGGTTCTTTTTATAGTGCTGGAGTGTGAGAATGTTAATTAAAGGAATCTCAGAATCGAAGAGGCTCAGAGAAAGGAAGGAGCGAGAATTTAATTTTAGGTGTTGTTTCATCAGGTTAAAAAAAAAAACAGTTTCATGAGTTACTTGTGGTTATTCTCAGGAACTTCACGAACCCCCAAAAAGCTCCAGTTGAAACTGTAAAGCATAAGAGACCAATTTAATGAAAATCTCTCACCCCAGTAAAAGACCTGTTAATTGTGAGGAGCCCAAATCAGCAAATCCAAGGGCATGAAAAGAGTATAGCAAAATGTTAGACATCATTCAAAGGCTGTTCTTCAAAGAGCCCTACTCGTTCATTTTTTAAAACAGAAGTTGAAAGAATAAAAAGGCACGGTGCACAGTGGTGCACATGGGCTCAAAACCGAGGCTCCAAAACCTAATCTTACAAACTTCAGCATCCACCAGGTAAATGTCCATTCCATTACTCTCTTCCCACTGGGTGAAAAATAACATGATGAATAAGGAACTGTTTCTACCTTCCTCAGGACTCTGTTCTGCTCTCTAGTGCTCTCAACGCCCTGCAGGGAGACTTTCCTATCTCTGCTTTGCAAGGGCAGAGGCTAAGTCACAGGATGGCTCAGCAAACTGCCCCTCATCTCTTGACTAATAAGTAGGAGAACTGGGTCTCAAGCCCAAGTCTGCCTACTACCTAGGTGAAGTCGTATGCCCTATGCCATCATAGAACAACTTGCAGAAGCATAAAATGGATATAAAACATGCCCGAGGGAACCCAGCCAGAACCAGACAGGGACTGGCACACCAGTCCTCATTCTTGGACTCTCTTCCTGAGCCACACTGTGTGCCAAGCCCCAATGGCCGGCAGGCGTTGCTTTTCACTGGGTCCTGCCCACAGCAGTTGCATCCTTGAGTTGCAGGCAGCAGAAACCCATTATAGCCAATAAAAGCACAGGGGATGTATTAAAAGGATATCTAGGAGTCACAGAATCAATGAGAAGGCTAGAACACCAAGCAGAAAGTAGGCAACTCTAGAGACTGGTGAGTTGAAATGAACCCATCTCTTGCCAGGACAGATAGAGCAGGGTTCTCTGCCCCTCTGCTCTGATTGTCCTGGCTTGAGTCAGAGAGCATCCATGTATGTTCTCACTTACGAGTGGGGGCTAAACAATGGATACACATGGACACACAGAGGGAAACGACAGACATGAGGTCTCCAAAAGGGGGGAGGGTAAGAGATGGGTAAGAGTTGAAAAATTACCTGGGCACAATATGGGTTACTCAGATGATGGATACATTAGAAGCCCAAACCTTAGCATTATGCAATATATCCATGCAACAAACGTGCACAGGAACACCCGAATCTATTTCTTTAAAAAGAGCTCATTGAAAACATCTGTAAAAATGTAAAAATAGGAAAAGATAATTCTCTACAAACAAATCATGTAGCTAGTAGCTGGGCCACTGCATTGCACACCTCCTTGGGGCAGCATTTACATGATTCCAATGTGAATAGGGTGCCCTCAAGTTGTGCAAAGTGCAAACACTACAAAAGAATCCCAGGCAGGCAGCCCCTCTGACTCCTCCACACTTATGAGATACGGTGCCCACCTACACTACTCTGCAAGGTTAGGTGACCTGCCCAATTAGTAGGAAGAAGAACTAAGATTCAAGCCCAGATAGTCTGATCCCAGAGTACGTGCTCTTAGCCACGATGCTTATCATAGTCCTGGAGAACCACAGAGGAGGCAGTAACCATCTGAGGAGAAGGGCAAGGTTTCAGCCTTGCTGACTTGAAGGTTAACATGGATGGCCCGCCCAGCATCGTGACGTCTCTGTCCCTTCACCTCCTTACCTCCAACAACCATTTCTGTCTTTCCACCTCAACCACAGACTCCCATATCAACCCTGAATATTGTCATAGCCTGTAAAAATGCATGACTTCTGAAATCTCAGTGTCGGACCTTCTGCCCCAGCTTCCTCATATCTTTCTAGCTCATCAATTCTAATACCTTGGTTGCAATCATGGAAATTCCATTCAACTGACTCCACCACTGGTTTTACTATCAACCACCAACTCCCACCTTCACTTTCTTCCTTACCCATCTTAGATTCCATGGTCTATTATTATGTTCTTTCCCTTGTATCTATCCCAACAACCTTGGCTTTCCCTCCTTATCATTCTTGTCCAGCAAAACTCCAAATCAGCCATCAACCTTCTCTATTCCATTGGAGCTACTGAATGTTGCTGAGAAGAATACATCCAGGCTGACTGGAGTATCTTTAAATTTATGACCACAAGACTAAAAAAAAAAAAAAGCACTTAATACTCCCTAGATTTACTCTGTTTCTCAAGTAAATTTCTTATCCACTGTCCATGATGCACATTGTATACCTTCTTTTGCTACTCAACACAGGGCAGGTCCTCATCCTTCACTTCCCCTACCTGTCTGCCCATGGCCTTCACTGGGAAAGCCAAAGTAATCACACAGGAGCCCTGCTGTTTGTCTAGTGGCTGATCTACAAATCTGCTTATACCTGAACTCATTCACTCATTCTGTTGTTTTCTCTCCTACAATTATGTGACTAATTTCTGTGCTCTTCTCAAAGGCAGATCCCTCTCTTCCCACCTTCTTAATCCCTTCATGCCTTCATTTGTCCCCTCTTCACATCTTCTCTCTCTCTCTCTCTCTCTCTTTCTAGAAGATCATCTCCTTCAAATGACAAATATGGTGCAGTACCTCTAGTCTTGAATAAAGAAACAAACCAAACCACTCTTAACATCACACCCTCCTCCAGTTATCATTCATTTGTTCTACTTCCCTCTACAGCAAAACTCTTTTCCTCCCACACCTCCACATCTTCCTAAGCATCTGTCCAATGTTCTTGTCGAGGTCACCCAATGACCTCCATGTTGCCAAATTCACTGCATATTTCTGTCTTCATCTTACTCAAACTCTGAGTAATGGCATTTAACACAATTGGTCGTAGCCTTCTGTTTGAAAACACTCATCTCTTGGTTTCTCTGATTCCACACTCACTGGCTACCCTCCACTCTACCAGCCACTCCTTCTTAGTCTTCTTGGCTGGTCTCTCCCCATCAACCTAACTTCTGAATGTTAGAGGGTCTCAGGAGTGAATCTGGTTCTATCCTCTTCTCTTTCAATTAAGTCTGTCTTCCTGTCCCATGACTTAATCTTCAACTACATATTAATGACTTCAATATTCCCAGCCCCGTGCCTACCTCTTCCCAGAATTTCAGATTGGTGTATTCAACTGCTTTCAAAGATCTTTATTAATCATTCCCCAGAAACAGAGGTCTTTAATTATCACACACACACATACACACACTTCCTCCCAGTTTTCCCCATATCAATAACTGGCACTCCATCTACCCAGATGCCCAACCTAAAGTCCTCCTGGCCCCCCACTCTCCATATCCAACTCATCGGTGAGTGCTGTCTCCCAATACAGCCGCAATCTCTATAGTGTTTCTCCACCTCTACCACCACCCCCTTCACCAACCCATCACTCACCTCGGCTCCTGGGGAGCCTCCACTTCAGCCTTTTCCCTCCATTCTCTACACCACAGAATGTCTCTGCAAAACCACATTAGCTATTTTCACTTGACTTTTTAGCATCTTTCGCACTACCTGTGGAATGAAATCCACACTCCCTACCATGTCCTCGAGGTCCTAGAATATGTCACTCCCCCAATCTTTCAACATGACTCCTCTTGCTCATTGTGCTTCAGCGGACCCATCTCCCTCCGCCCTTACAATTTTCCAAACTCCTTTCCATATCAGGGCCTTTGCTCTGATTCTGTTGTCCTGAGATGCTCTACTCCCAGGGTTTGAAATGCGTGTCTCATTCTGCTCCTTCAGGACTTGACTCAAATACCACCCAATTCCTTAGAGATGCCTCCCCTGACCAGCCACTTCCTTAATCGTGGCAGTTTCCAGTTCCCAGTGTTATGGGATATTCCTGGAGTGCTTTCCAGATGTTGTCGTGCTTTACATTGTTTTACATTGTGCTTTACACATTGATAAACTGTTTTCATTCCTCACAACTGTCATTATCATACCCATCTTTAAAGAATGAGGAAACTGAGCCCAGAGGGTAATGACTAAGGTCAAATAGCTGTGGGAGGTGGTCTCAGGGTTTAACCCTGTGTGGCCTGGCTGCCTCCAGCCTGGCCTCTTAGACCCCACGCTGTACTGCCTCTCTCGCATAACCTGCATGTCTCTTCTAGCACTTTTTACAATCTGATATTGTCTTGCTTAGTTATTTCTGTAGTGTCAGTCTCCTCGCCAGAATATGAGGACAATATGAGGCAACTTGTGGACAGAGGCTTTTTGTTTTTTCATCACTTGACTCCCAGGGCCTGCGACACGGTAGGTGCCCAGCCAGTATTTGTTGCATGGATGAATAAATGAATGGTAAGTCTAGATTGGGAAGTGAAAACATTTGTAATAACAGCTATGATTATTTTAGTGCCAATAATTTTTACACATCTGTATGACCACAGAGCATATAAGCAAACTGTTTTTGTTTTAAATGATAGACTAACGTTATCTATGATTTATGTATTTTTCAGAGCAGATTTACTATGCTGGTCCTGTCAATAGTCCTGGATTTGATATTCCCGAGGTAAGGTTTTTTTTTTTAATTCTAATTTTAAAGATGTGGGGTACAATTCAGGGTTAGGTATACAAATGTTCATTATGCAGGTACCCTTGTTAATGAAGTGTACCCTCCCCAGCAGTTTCCCACTACTGCCAATCCCTTTCTTATACCATTATGATAATTATTCAAGGTCCATTTATGAGTGAGAACATATGGTACTCAGTTTTCTGTCTCCATGATAGATCACTGAGTATTACAGACTCTAAATCCATCCAAGTTGCTGTGAAGTCCATATGTTTGTCCTTCTTTATGGCTTCATAATATTCCATTGTGTATATGTACCCCTTTTTTTTTTTATCCAGTCCAGTTTCGATGGGCAGCACTGTTGATTCCATATTTTTGCTACTGTGAACAGTGCTGCAATAAATATGCTTGTGCAGGTATCTTTTTTATAAAATGATTTGAGTTCCTCCAGATATATTCCCAATAGGGGGGATTGCTGAGTCACATGGAAGGTCAGTGTCTAGTTCTTTCAGAAATCACCACACTGTTTTCCACAGAGGTTGCACTAGTTTGCATTCCCACCAGCAGAGTAGAAGAGTTCCTTTTTCCTCCACATACTTGCCAGCATCTGTTGTGGTTTGTTTTATTAATGATGGTCGTTCTTACTGGGATTAACATGTTTTGATTTGTATTTCTCTGATACTTAGTGAGGCTGAGAACTTTTTCATGTGTCTGTTGACTGCCCATATATCTTCTTTTGAGAGGAGTCTATTCATGTCTTTTGCACACTTTTTAATGGGGCTGTTTGATTTTTTCTTTTCAACACGTTGGAGTTCCTTGTAGGCAAATATTTTTTTCCCATCCTGTGGGCTGTCTCCCCACTCTCTTGATGTTTTATTTTGCTTTGCAGAAGCTTGTCAGCTTGATGAGTTCTCACTTGTCTATCTTATCTCTTATGGCATGGGCACTTGGGGTTTTGATCAGGAATTGGTTGCCAGTTCCAATTTCCATAAGGGTGTCTCTTGCATTTTCTAAGGTTATTATAGTTTGAGATTTTATATTTAGGTCTTTGATCCATTTAGAGTTGATTCGAGGTAAGGTTTTGATTTTCTCTTTTGTTTTGTTACTTAATTCTTGTATTGAACTGTTTGTTTTTTGAAGAAGGAGGAGGGGGTAAAAGAGGAAGAGAAGGAGGAGGAGTGGGGACTGAAGAGGAGAACAGAGAAGAAAGAGGAGGAGAAGGAAGGAATTAAACAATTTAAAATGTATCCACAGGCCACCACTACAAAAACCCTTCCTCAATAAAGTTGCTACCTTGTAGTGAGTTCTTAAAATTTTTCCTGGCACACTAGCTTTGTCATTTTGGTTTTAACATTTTATGTGCCATTGAGTCTTTGGGGCTCCTCTGGATACAAACCTCCCACTGAGAGGGATGGTGGCGTCTTGTCCAGCAGGATGGCGGTGTCTGCAGTCTCCATACGGCTCATACTGCTAGGATATGTGGGAGGACCCCATGCACACTGGGACTCGTGCTCTGAGATTCTGGCAGTTCAGAGGCAAGAAGATAAACAAAGCCAAGAAGGCGTAAAGGTCCCCTTGTTACCATCCTTCCACTGTTACTCATGGGCTGCCACCAAGTAAATAAAATGCCCACGTCCTCTGCATTTGCTGACAAGCCTCACAGCTAAGAGTAGAATTTTCCACTAGTAATAATAATATGACTCAAAATAATGTGACTTTATTAAATAGCTGAATTCATACCACTCTGACTTAAGCAATAGAGTTTTCAATATGCTACCCCTGAGAGAAACTTGTGGAACCCAATGTGAAAAGGATCACAATTATGATTTTTAAAATCTATATAGATCTATTGAGTACATGTGAATTTTTTTGTTACATACACATAATGAATAGTGATCAAGTCAGGGTATTTAGGGTGTCCATAACCCTAGTAAGATACATTTTTGTTAACTATCATCACTGCTAGCAAACATTGCACTTATTCCTTCTATCTAGCTGGGTGTTTGCACCCTTTAACCCTCTTCTGTTCATCATCCCCGTCCCTCCTGTTTAGCTTCTCAGTCTGTTATCTTTCCACTCTACCTCCATGTAATCAAATTTTTTAGTTCCTACATATGAATGAGAACATGTGATATTTGTCTTTTTGTGCCTGGGTTATTTCACTTAAGATAATGATCCCCAGTTTCATTTTATGTTGCTGTAAATGACGGGATGTCATTCTTCTTTAAGACTGGATAGTATTCCACCTTGTTATATACCACGTTTTCTTTATCCATTTGTCTGTTGATGAATGCTTCGGTTGATTCCATTATCTTTGCTATTGTTTTTTATCTCATTCTTTTGATCCTCCAAAACCTGTATGTGACTCAGGAAAAGGGTCTCCTTGCCCATAAAGGAGTCTCTTTAACTTTGTTTCATCTCTGGGCGGTTTCCTTTCTGTCCCCGCCTCTGAGTTCCTAAGTTGGAGTGCCACCTCCTTAACATCTTGGGTTCCCACTAGCATTGCTCTTGCAGCTGGAAAGTTCCTAGCCTTCCCCCTCTGGAATTCTCCACAGGTTTCCCCTCAGGACCTTAGTATAATGGGAAAGTTTTGCAAGAGGAAAACTCAGCCTCTCTTCACTTCTACAATGAGGGGCCTAAATTATCCTAGATAGCTTTATTTTTTTCCTTTAAATCTTTGATGTTTGAATTCTATTCCTTCCTCCATTTTTATTCTAATCTTCCCACTAGAGACTGACTTAAACTTTGCTAACAATTTATTTTCATTTTACATTGTTGGATTTTTTTTTTTCTTAACCAGTTACCTTTAACAATTAACTGATGTAGAAGGGAAATGAACTTCTTAAAGTCAGAAAACTTCCTTGAAAGATGTAAAAAGTTTTATCACAACCACTTATGACATTTGAGGGAGGCACAGGACCCTCATCCTTCAACCAGTGACAGTGCTCAGGGAGTTATTGCCCAGTGTGAGCATCGCATGTGCAGCAGAGGCCGCTGGAGGCCTCAGTCCCAAGATGAGCTCCCTACACTGGCCGCAGACCAGTCACAACCAACCCACAAGGCTCAGAGATTTTTGCTATCCTGGTATGGGACACAGATAGTTCGCAACCTTTTGGTTTTGAAAGACCTCTTTCTCCACCCAAATCCCCCAGAGATGATCTCTGGGTCAATGTGGTCCCTGCTTGGCCAAAAACTTTGGTTTTCAATCTTCAGTGTCTCAGTATTACTTCCCTGTTAACATATCCAATCCCTTGGCCCACACTGAAGTCCTCTGTAGCATCCTACATCTGTCTTTGCCTGCTGTTTTCTGAATTAGAGTTTCGAGATATTTGGGCTTCCAAAGCATGTGGACAACAACTTGTAGGTACAGCCTGAGCCAGGTATGGCCAAGGATGTACCCACTAGTTTCTGACTCACAAACTCAGTGCCCTCCTCAACAGCAGAAAGGTCACTGTGCTGCCCTTTCTCCCTACCCCAGCCTCCTGTTCTCCCAGGACATGCTTCCACTTGCCTCAAACTGGCATGATTGCCTAAGTACTCTTACCTCTTATACCAGAGCATACATATCCATAATTCATCATCTAGAGCCCCTTCATTCAAATACAACCTCTCCTCTTAGGCTCATAAAGCAATAATGAAAAGTTCATTTGGTTTTCAACAGTTTCACAGGGTGTGTACTCAGGTACACACAGAGATTTAAAAGAAAAGTAGATGAGGATAAGCAGGAGGAGGAAACACAATCAGATAAAAATTCAAGCCAGTCTTCAATCATAATTAATTATCTAATGTTTACACTGCTTTGGTTAAATTCCTAACACTGTTTTAAAATTATAGCTGTTCGGTATTTGAGCAATAAGACTCATGGGAACCTCTAGACTCAGGGAATGGCACTCAAGGCTCCTCCCAGAGCACAGCCTGCTTCTTTCAAATACATGTTTGGTGTTGGGATTCCATTCCCTTCTGAACCTCTGCTAATTGCTGGAAAGTTGTTCTCTTTAGCAAAAGCCACCTCTCATGCAACTTCTGCCTAGTGGTCTGACTCCTTCCCTCTAGGTTTATACAGATGAAACTCTTTTCTCCTTTGGGGGACAGGCAACTGGAAGATGTGTGCATCCTCCCCTTTGCTCCCTCTGTCCTGCTTGAGACACAGTAGCTGCCACTCCAGAGGCTTTTTGACAAACATATCACCACTGTGTGGCTGGCAGGGCTTCAGCAAAACAGCTCAACTTCTGGGATCTTTCCATAGTTCTCACAGAACTATGGGTTCTTCTAAGCAAACTGCAAATGAAGGGAGCCCTCTGTGCAACATTGCAACCAGAAAAGAAACCTGAAAGACAACAGTCCTTTCTGACAGGGTATTTTGGTTTTGTGCTGTTGAACGGTGTTCCCCAGAGTACTTTTCCATCTCGGCAAATGACCCTTTACCTTCTAGCTGCTCAGACTAAGAGGTTTGGAATCCTCTTTGACCCATCTCTTTCTCTCCCACCCACTCGGGTTTCCTCAGCAGATCCTATCAACTTTTCTTTCAAAACCTTTCCAGAACCTAATCCCTTCTCCCACCTCCACCATCTGCCCCCAAGCCATCCTCGTCAACCCTGGATTTCTGCAGTCACCTATTGCCTGGTTTTTTTTTTTTAGCATGGTGGCCAAAGAGATCCCACTAACACATACTGCAGATCAGGTCCCTCTTCTAGAGAAAACTGTCATGACTCAATCCCTTTTAGAGTGAAAGCCAGTGTCTCCATCACGGCCTGTGAGGCCCTAAGGGTCTGGCCTCCTGTGTTTCCATGACCTCACCTCCCCTCTCCCTCCTTCTCTTCCTGCAGCCCCATTGTCCTTCCTGCTGTTCCTCAAATGTGAGGGATCCCAACCTATAGCACCATGGCCTCTTCCTGCACCCCCTTCACGTCGTATCTTCTCTGTAGGGTCTCCCTTGACCACTGTATTTAAACTTGCAAACCAGCACCCGCCTTGTCCCACCCAGCACTCCCATTCATCCTTACCTGCATGAGTTTCCTCCATAGCATCAGCATCTGAAATGCTACACATAGTTCCTTAGTCATGTGAATGGTCTGTCTCTCCCAATGACACTGTAAGCTCTGCAGGGCAGGGAGATGGTTTGTCTTACTCTGACTTTGTCCCCCATTATCTTGTTTTAACTTTGTCCCCAGTGTCTAGAACAGTGCCTGGCACATAGAAGGTGCTTGATATATATTTGTTAAATGGTTCATTGTACTATTGGCCACACACCTAATACTTTTCCTGTGTTCCTTTCAGGGAAAATACCAGGTTTTGCTGGAACTGTATACTGAAAACCGTTCCACTGTGGCCTGTGCCAATGCTACTGTCATCTGCTCCTGATTGTGATCTACAGCAAAAATCACAGCAACCTCCGTCTGGTGGGACTGCCAAGCTCCTCAGATTGAACCTACTATGTAAGAAGAATCAGCTGATGACAGAGAGAAACTCTACAAAAATCCCCCAAAAGAGTGCAGTTACTAATTTTAGCCCCAGGACCAGATATCCCAGACTTCACAGATTTAATGAAACCCCCAAAATTATCTGCTCCAAAGGAGCTTCTTGGTAGTCACTAAGCAATCTGCAGGGTCCATCCTTCTAACTAGTTGCCTCACACCAGACTCACCTGCTTTTTGACTCCTCAGGAGGCTTCCTCACTGTTACAGAGAATAAAGAAAGCTGGCCCACCATTGTTTATTTGTTTGTTCAAAGAATCCTAATACAACACTGTCGTTAAAAACTCCTTTCCTCCAGATACAATGTCAGGGGTTGATGCAGGTAAGCAGTTCTAAGCAATTCAGGAGATGACAGCCCGGCTAAAAATTAGAGCACTGGGAAAATGTGCCCTGGCTTCTCCTGGGCAGGCCCCCTGCCCTTGGACCATGATGGTAAAAACCTGGTGCAGCCTTATGAGCAGTGACATCATAATCTCATTTGTCCAAGCACTCATTTCACCATCATCCCCAGACCTCAGCACATCATTACCCCATATATTATTCCATTCAAGGAATAACTGCTGAACACTTAACATTATCAGGCATTGTGGTCCTGGATTACCTTCTTCAATGATCTCAATAAATAAGCTGCCCATCCTTTGCCAGAACCATTTCAGCCACCCCATCTTCTCTCCCAGGGTGTGTAGATCACAGGGTGGGCTCCACAGCCGCTTCGCCATCCTGTGCCCACTCCCCAATTCTCTCATACCAGTGTCTCTGGGCCCAATGTCTGGCTTTCCTGCCCCTGCTAAGGGGCTGGAATAGAGTGGGTAGATTGACTTTACCATGTTTGGCTCATAAAAAAATGCCATTGTGTTAGTGGTTTAAAGGGGACAAAGTTCCATAGTTTTAAAAATGGCAGTTGCTATATGTACATAATTAAACCACCTTGAACAGCAGGCCACGAATGTCTGATGAATCAGAACTTTGAAATCAACATCTGAGGTTTTGGGGTTATGAGGAGACGAAAATTACAGAAAGGCCTGTAATACTCAAGAAAAAAGACAGGCATGACACAGAGTGACACTGATATGCACACATACAGCAATTATCTTCCCCTTGGCCATTTCCTCTCCCTTGAGATGATTGCCCTGCTCCTTTTTCCGTCAATATCCCTTAGATAGGAAAGGCCTTGGGTAGACTCTGTACTCGAGCACAAGACAGCTGTCGCCACTCTCCAAAGACATGAGCAGAACTCAGGTTGTCCCTTCCCATCCCTTTGTCCCTTTGTCCTCTTCTTTAAAGTGTGTGGTCAGGGGCAGAGGGAGAGAACATGCGTGCCAGAGCTCCAGACACTATGGGTTTGGGTTAAACAGGAATTTCCGCAAATGGAGCTGATCCTAGCCATGCTGAATATGCACGTACACAGCCGTTTCACTAAGGACATGATTTGAAAGAAAAATAAAAATGTTTCTTTGCCCCCAAATATGTCTTAGTGCAGGGGTCCAACCCCTGGGTGAACTCCATGGCCTGTTATGAACTGAGCCACACAGCAGGAGGTGAGCAGTGGACAAGCTCCATCTCCTGTCAGATCAGCGGAGGCCCACACTTTATTTTATTTACCACTTCCCTCCACGCCTCTTTTTTTTAATGGTGAGTTGTATAATTATTTCATTGTATATTACAATGCAATAATAATAGAAACAAAGTACACAATAATTGTTATTCACTTGAATCATCCCAAAACTACCACTACCATCCACCTTCGTTGGTGGAAAATCGTCTTCCAGGAAACTGGTCCCTGATGCCAAAAAGGGTTGGAACTGCTATCTTAGTGTCCTGTTATGGGTCCTAAGTTTCACCATTGGTTTTACTCCAGCAAGTTGAGAACATTTTTCAACACTCAGGAGACTCCTATTAAAATACAAGCAGCCTTGGTGGGAGGAACACCAGTCACTGTCATTATTTAACACTCTGGTGGAACATAGTAATATAGATTGAGTTTGGAAGTGGCAGCCTTAGAAAGCTAGAGACATCAGGGGGAGTAGGCGATCCAAGCAGAGCTCTCTTAGGCCAGCCATCTGTGCAGTGTCTGGGGTGAGGGCAGAGTGCCTGGATAATTACCAAAGAACCTACACCGACTTCTCATCTTCTTATAAAGAGAATTGTTACTGTTTGAAAAATCACCATCAAGAGCTCCAAAAATTTGGCCTCAATAAACTTTTCTAAAGAAACAAAACCAGTTTAATTCAGGATTGTACAGTACCACCAGAACCAAAGAACTCTTGGGAAAACTGGTCAGCTCCAGTCATTTGGGTGCCCCTGGCCCTTCTTTATATTTTGAGGGTGATGTCAATCCTTATGTAGGGCATTTTAAAACATGTTTCTGTGGGAAATTCCAGTGCCCAAGGGAAGTTTTGTTGGGCTAGGGTCCAGGGAGAATGCTGAAAAGTCCCTTGAGACAGCATGAGTGCATCATGTAGAATGCATTCGCTTTAAGAAACAGAGAGCTCTGCTCACTCTGGCTTCCACATATAGGGTGGGCTCTTGTGATACTGAGTCCTGGGGTGGTTCAGGCATCAGATGAGGTTTGCTGGGAAGGGTCATGCATTATCCGCCCCTCACCTCCATTTATCTGCAGTTGTTCAACCTCAGGTCTCCCTGAATATTGGCTTCACCTTCATTCTTGCCTGTAGTAGCAAATTGTTTCAGCAGTTGGAGACCTCACATCCACACTGCCCACAATACAGAGGGCAAAAACACCTCTACCTCAGAAGTCTCCTATTCATTCTAATTAGAATGGCTTGGGTCACATGACCACCCCTGACCAATCATTTTGGCCATGCCCTACCCCTGGTGCTGGATCAGAGTTAGTCCCACTAGTACCACACATATCCCTTAGTAGAAACTAGGGGAATTGTAAAGGGGTCATGAGTGAAGAAGGGAAAAGATGTTAGGAGTCAAGAACATGTCTAGAATCAGGCCAGCTTTTAAATTCGAATTCTATCCTAGCTGTTCACTAACTATTCACTGGGCAAATGACTTATATTGTCTAAGCCTCAGTTTTCTCATCAATAAATGCCAGCTATAATAGTACCTACCTTGTAGAGATACTGTGAGCAGTAATTGAGAGAATGCTTGTAAAGTAGTGAGAACAGGGCCTGGCATGTCACGCAATCAAAGTGAGTTATTACTATGTATGGTGGGTGTGGTGCTAAAGCCTCCTTTCCTAATTTATCTCTGCTATCTTCCTACATCGTCAAGGCAAACAGTCACAGAAGGTAGGCCCTTGCTCATGAGCCCACATTCCCTTCTAGGTCCTGAAATGGTTCCTCGGCATCTTGCTTTTTTTTTTTTTTAAGTGTAGATAGTTTTATTAGAAGTTCCTGAGTCATAGGCTTGGACCATGAACTTGCAAAAAGAATTTAAGGGAAACATTTGGGTACTAGTTTCCCCCCCAACAGAAACAGTGTAACCAGACCAAAAGGGCCTAGGAAAGAAAACGTAAATATTTTTTAATTAAACTGTTTCCTGCAAATAAAGACACACTTCTAAGATGTCAAGAACTAAATATAACATCTACTAAAGTAACAATTGCATCTGTTTTCAGAAAACAAACAAACAAACAAACAAACCCCAAATAGCTGGTGAGAGAATGGAAAGAGCCACATCCTGATTACAACCCAGACTTGTAAGGGAGCGGAGCTTATCAGCTCAGCAGTTCAATGGCAGATTTAAATTGGCTGTGTTTTTGTCAGTCAGCAAAACAAGTACCTCAGTCTAGTTTTCCAATCATTTTGTCTGGCAAGTAGGAGACCTACAGGAATAGGGAAAGAGTTATTTTGCATCTAGTCTGTGAATACCTTCCATCGTTCAGTTTAGAATGGAAGCCTTCAGCTGCCTTCAAATGCTCCTGCCTGAATTCTACAAGACATACAAGGAAGAACTGATACCAATCCTACTGAAAGCATTCCAGGCAATTGAGAAGGAAGGAATTCTCCCTAGCCCATTCTATGAAGCTAATATCATGCTGATACCAACAAGATTGGTGAAGAACCAACAAGAAAAGGGAATTACAGATCAATTTCTCTGAGGAACATAGATGGAAGCATTCTCAAAAATATTCTAGCAAATCATATCCAACAACATTTCAAGGATCATCCATCATGACCAGGTGAGCTTTATTCCCAAGATGCAGGACTGGTTCAACATTCATAAGTCTATAAACGTAATTCATCACATTAACAGATGTAAAACCAAGAACTACAGGATTATCTTATTAGACGCAGAAAAAGTGTTCAACAAAATCCAGCAGCCCGTCTTTAGAAAAACCCGTAACCACCTAGGCATCAGAGAAACATTCCTCAAAACATTAAGAGCTACCTATGACAAAACTGCAGCCCACATTATGCTTCATGGAAAGAAGCTAGAAGAATTCCCCCTAGAACTGGAACAAGACAAGGATGCCCACTCTCACCCCTCCTATTCAACATAGTGCTGGAAGTCCTAGCCAGAGCAATCAGGCAGAAGGAAATCAGGAGTATCCAAATAGAAAAAGAGGAAGTTAAGTGCTCCCTCTTTGCAAATGATATGATTCTATACCTAGAAAACCCTAGAGTATGTCAAAAACCTCCTCCACTGATAAATGATTTCAGTAAAGTCTCAGGATACAAAATCAATACACAAAAGACAGTTACAATTTCTATACACCAACAATAAGTAGGCTGAGAGCCAAATAAAAAACATAAGTCCTTTCACAATAAACACACACACACACGAAATTTCTTGTCATCCACCTAACCAGAGAAGTGAAAGACCTTTACAACAAGAACCACAGAATGCTGCTCCAAGAAATCAAGGATGACCCAAACAAATTTGAAAACATACTATGCTCATAGATTGGAAGAATCAGTATCATCAAGGTGTTGCATCCTACACAAGGAAATCTACAGATTCAATGCAACCCTTATCAAATTCCAAAAATCATTTTTCATAGACCTAGAAATACAATAATACAGAAATTCATATGGAAGCCAAAACGAGCATGAATAGCTAAAGCAATCCTCAGAGAAAGGAACAAAGCTGAAGGAATCACACTTTCAGACTTTAAACTTCATACAAGGTTACAGTAAACAAGACAGCATGGTATTGGTACAGGAATAGACCAATGAAACAAGACAGAGAATCCAGAAATAAAATGATTCCTCAACCAATTAATCTTCGACAAAGCCAACAGTGAC